ACATTCAATCTGACCCCTGCCTTGGGAGCAGTGTTTATTTTTGCATCCAATGTTAACAAAACATTCTTTAAAAAGGTAGAAGACAAAATTTAGTTACTTTTCAGAAAAATATTTCTTGATATCAGTACTAAAATTGGTTAATAGTATATAGTTACATTTATAGGGAACATACTATGCTTAAAAATCCATACTAGAAACTTTAAAAACATGTATCATAGCTACCTGAACGCTTTAAGTTAGATATTAAATTAATTTCCATTTTATTGGAGGAGAAAACGGAAGTCTAGAAAAGCCGAGTAAATACTGAACCTGAAGGTGTCCGCTTCTAGATCTGGTGTCTCTTTTACCAGAGTAAGGAGCTTTACAGAATGCAGCAGAGACGTGTAGAGTTGCAAACACAGATAATTTTCTTACTCTGAGGTGGAAGGTAAAGTGATTAGCTTGATGACAAAATGTTTGCGTGAGAAGAATCAGTCCTGTATTAATGATGTCTGTGTAGAGAAGTGAAGCTTCCCTCACTGCAGTGTGGTTCCTGTATCAGTTTAGCTGTCGTGGTGGGGGAAAGTCGTAAACTGTGCTGTTCCCACACTGAGGTAGCTCTTTGGTTTCTCTTTCTAGAGAATTCAGACCGATAGGAATCAGGAGAGCCTTGGGAGTTATTAGAAAATTGCATAAAAAGCTTACTGGGTGACATTCTGATGAGAGAAACAGGACGTGCAGAATGGAGTGTGAAAGACACAGTCTGCTGAGAGGGCTGAGCAGGGAAGGGGAGGCTGCGGTGCCTCCTTACAGCCTACAGATCTGCCAGCTTACAGATCGGTGGGGGTAGGTGTTTATTCCAGGGTGGAGCAGAGAGTGTGGTACAGTGCGGACTGGGAAGAAATAGGGCAGAAACTCTAACAGTCAGAGAGGGAAGAAGAAGAGAAGAGAGGTCGGAGGAAGAAAACGGTCCCTGTCTCTTCTCCTAGCATCTAAGTTTCCTGAAGCCAAACTTGTTCACTGTTGTATCCCCAGTGTCTTAACGGTGTGCCTGACACAGGGAATGGGGTTGGCAAACACCTGGTTTAAATGACGAGTGAGGAATTGAGAAGCGGGGTGAATGGAAACTGAGCAGGAAGAGCTTCGGGAAAGGTGTAGGAGAGGGAAGTAAAGGAACAGCGGGGTGGAGAGTGGCCAGAGAGGGAGAGCTGTCCGTCCGGGCCATCTTTGGCGCGGCATGGCCAGGGCGGTGCGGGAGGCTGGTCCGTACGCCCTCAGACTGGGCTGCGGACGGGCGCAGAGGCGGGGCCTGTGATCCAGACTCCCGTGAGGGTGAAATCAGATCATGTATGCAGCAGAGTTTTATAAAGAGCAAAGCATTATGTGTGTTATTAGTTTATAGTTTTGTAGTTATTACTGAGTAACTTGAAGCCAGAAGTTGAAGTGTAGATTTCTCGAGAATGATCTCAGATTTTAATATAGTAACTTTCTGTGTCTAGTAGTCAGGGTATGAACTATTCCACAGAAGTGCATTTTCCAGTTAACCCAACCTTGTATTGCTATCAACAAAATAATTTTACTAGATTTGATGTATGTCTCTTATAAATATATGTATATTCTTAATGAAAAATGCTTTAATTTTTCTCTTACAATTCTTGATCATTATTATAAGCATCATTGATTATGTTTTATATTATAATGCCCTCAGAAACCTGTTGAGGTTTATTATGTTGCTTAACTCTAAACATAGATGAGATAACCTAGATTACTATATTTTGAGTTCTTATCATGTTTCATGGTTTTTCTGCCTTTTCTGTCTCCATTACCTTTTATTTAATAGCTTAAATTCAAATTCATTTTTGTTATGAGATTTAAATATAATGGGTAGCCTTTCTCTTCTCCAGGGGATCTTCCCAACCTAGGGATCGAACCCGGGTCTCCTGCATTGCAGGCTGATTCTTTATCAGCTGAGCCCAAGAAAACTAGAGTGGGTAGCCCAAGAAAACTGGAAGCCCAAGAAAACTGGAGTGGGTAGCCTATCCCTTCTCCAGCGGATCTACTCAGCCCAGGAATCAAACTGGGGTCTCCTGCATTGCAGGCGGATTCTTTACCAACTGAGCTACTAGGGAAGCTGTTTTGTCCTTAAATCACCCCCTATTCTAATCCCATACCCATCAGAGTGATGATGAAAGTTTGGTTTGTAGTAGTTTGGTTCTTCTCTACACATAAATATAGTGTATTAGTCTGCTATGGCCGCCATGATAAAATACCATGAATGAGTGGATTAAACAATAACAGTTTATTTCTCATTGTCCTGGATGTTACAAGCTCCAGAACAAGGTGACGGCCAGTTTGGGTCCTGGCTAGAGTCTTTTCCTGCTTGCAGACTGCTGCCTTCTTGTTGCACACACATGACCTCTGCGTCATCTAGGCTTGGGGAGAGAGAGCAAAACTCTCAGGTATCTCCTCTGAGGACCTTAATCCCATAATGAGGGTCCACCTTCATGAGCTCGTCTAGCCCTAGTTACCTCCTGAAGTCCCCTCTGCAGATACCATCACTGGGGGGTTAGAATTTCAAAATAAGAATTTTAAGGGAATGCAATTCAGTCGGTAGCGTGTATACACATTTATTTCAGTATAAATGGAGCCATGCTGTATGTGCTTTTCTGCCTCCTGCCTTTTAGTTTAAGTTATGCCTTGGAAGAGCCTTTTATGTGTGTACCTCATGCTTTTTAATGACTGTCATGTTTCTTTAAGATCTCTAATTTCATCTTTAATTGGAGGATAATTGCAGTGTTGTGACGATCCCTGCCGTACATCAGCAGGAACCAGCCTGGAGTGTGCACAGCCCCCTGAAGCCGCCCCCCCTCCTCCCCGCCCTTCTGGCCACCCCCCAGCCTGTCACAGAGCCCCAGCTCCGGCTCCTCTGGGCCACTCAGCAAACGCCCGCTGGCTGGCTCTTCTGCAGACGGCACTGTGCATGTGTCATCGCTAATTCTCTCAGATCGGACCAAGATTTATTCAGCTGTTCCCCCGTTGATGAAAAGTTAAATATTTTCCAGTTGTTTTATAAACATTGTAGTACAAACATTTTCATATGGACTAATTGTGAGCATGTGTAAAGTATTTTGATAAGACAGATTTTTAGATGGTCAAACGATACTCTAATATGAAGTTTGAGAGACAATTCCAAGTTGACCTCTAAGAAATTCGAGTCAGTTTTGTCACATCAATAGAGTGTGTGTCTTCCTTCTTCCTGTCTCCTTTCCTACCTTCCTTCCCCTCTTATTCTTTTCTAGAGTTTTGAGAATACCGTATATTATCACTCGTTTTCATGCTTGTCAATTTTAGTAGGTGAAAAATAATTTACTGTTTATTTAGTCTGAAGATTTTAAATTGTGGTTCAGGTTGTAAATATCTCCATGTACTTATGGATCATTCGAAGTTTTCTTGAACTTCCAGTTGTGTTTTTTGTTTATTTTCATTGTAGATTGACTTTTTTCTAAGAGTTTTTCTACATGAGCTTTTGCTTGTAACTTCCATTACAAATATTTCTTCATGGTTTGACTTTATTCAAATTTTCATATACTTGGGTTATTTAGTATTTTGTATAGTTTGGGTTTCCTGTCTTGCTTTAAAAGGCTGAAAGAGAATAAAAATTTTAATATGATATGATAGCTGTGTGTGTATATTTTATGATTATAGCAATTTTATATTTTGTTTTTTTAATTGAGCTATAGTTGATTCAAAATACTGTGTTAGTTTCAGGTATATAGCAAAGTGATTCAGTTGTACATACATATTTATCCTTTTTCAGGTTTCCAATGTATATTATTATATAGTTTCCAATATTATATTGTTTATAGATTGTTTCCAATGTATATTATTATATAGTTTCCAATATTATATTGTTTATAGATTGTTTCCAATGTATATTATTATAGGATATTAAATACAATTGCCTGTGCTATAGAGGAAATCCTTGTTGTTTATCTGTTTTATATACAGTGATATGCATCTGTTAATGCTATACTCCTAATTTGTTTCTCCCCTCTCTATCGCATTTGATAACCATAAATTCATTTTCTATGTCTATCAGGCTGTTTCTGTATTGAAAATAAGTTCATTTGTATTATTTTTTAGATTCCAGTTGTGTGTTTTTGTGGTAGAAATATTTCTATTCAGGACCAGATGTATTTTATGTAACCAGAAAATGTCTGATCTATGGGTACATACTAATTTTATACATACTAATTTCAAATCAGTACCTCCAAAACATTATTGCAACATGTGAAAACAGAAATAGCTTATATTAATTTAAATTACCGTGTGACTGAGCCTTACTTTCTTTAAGGATAACAATATATATCTGATAGCTTGTTGTGAGAATTAAATGAGATAACATATGCAAATAATACTAGATGTTATTTACTCAGATGCCTATTAAGTACCATTCATTATTTACACATAAGTGTATTTCAGCTTTAAAACAATGCACTGAAACAGGTGTTACAGTACCTAAAATATTTGAGTGAGAAAATAGATTCAGTGATCTTAAGCAAGTTTCGTAGGATCTCATAAAAAAAAAATGGTAAAGCCAGAATATAAATACATGTTAGTCTGAAAACAAAAATCGCTATTTCACCATACACTCTTCTTGGGAGAATTACAGGTATTTTTTCTTTAGTCCTTTTCTCTTTCTCCATTTCCTGTTTTTCTCTTTTGCTATTTGATGAATAAAATCCTCTAAAACAGACTGCCCAAGAGTATTCACTGTGATTATTGAAATGTTCTTTTCTCTGTCCAGAGAGGTAGCCATTAGCCATATGTGTCTGTTCAGTGCTTGAAATGTGGCTAATGCAACTGAGGAATTGAAATTTTACTCTTATTTAATTTAAATTAAACTACTTGTGGCTGCTCTTTTTGGACATTGCAACCTTAGGTGTATGATTGCTTTTTTTGGTAAGTATAAAGTGAGCATAATTAATGTGTTGACTGATAATGAGGAAACTTCATTCTAGGTTGAGAACTTTAGCAGAGGAACTAATGCAGACACAGCAGATGCTTTTAAACAAGGAGGAGGCTGTGCTGGAGCTAGAGAAGAGGATTGAGGAGTCTTCTAAGACCTATGAAAAGAAGTCTGAGTGAGTAAAAAAGGAGTAATTTGAAGAAAGAAAGTTTAATTGATGTATTTAACAGAAGTACTTCATTTTACGTGGAATTAGAGACATAAAATTTCCAGAAGTTGAAATTTCATGTATAAAAGTATGAAGCTGTGTATGGTTGAGTTACTTTCGAGGACTCTAGAGGAATGATTTTGTATTTTTATCCATATAATGTTACCTATCATTTGTCTCAATGTTTTAGTGGTTTGAATTATTTTCTGAAGAGCCCCATTAAAACTTGTCTTTTCTCCACCTTAAATGGTGACCCATTCCAGTATTCTGGGCTGGAGAATCTCATGGACAGAGCAACCTGGCAGGCTACTGTCCATAGGGTCACAAAGAGTTGGATATGACTGAAGCGACTTAGCACAGCACAGATCAAAGTCCAGCATACTCACTGTGAATTCCTCGTCTTTTCCATCTGAGCCCCCAGGGAAGCCCCTAAGAAACTGTTGCTGCTACTGCTTAGTCACTTCAGTCGTGTCCGACTCTGTGCGACCCCATAGACGGCAGCCCACCAGGCTCCCCTGTCCCTGGGATTCTCCAGGCAATTACACTGGAGGAATTACACTGGAGGAAATTGCCATTTCCTTCTCCAATGCGTGAAAGTGAAAAGTGAAAGTGAAGGTGCTGAGTCGTCTCTGACTCTTAGCCCCATGGACTGCAGCCCACCAGGCTCCTCCGTCCACGGGATTTTCCAGGCAAGAGTACTGGAGTGGGGTGCCATTGGATAATCAGGAAGCTGGCTTCTGCTGTGTTAGGAGGAAGCAAGTAAGCTTATTAAAAAGGAGTGGTGTGTCTCATCTATCCTTCTGAGGTTCGCTGTGCTGTTGCCTTATTATTGCTTTTTGTGTTGGTGTCTGAATCAGTAAACATACTCGTGGATCCTCTGACTCGTTTTGCTGTACTCTTGTGTTTACTGATTTCAGTACTTATGTTTTCTCTTGTTTTCGGATCAAATTTTGATCTGAACTTTACAGTTTCTAGTCTGACTTTGGTCATTGTTTGCATCTTCAGCAAGAGTGGCTTTTGTATGCTTTCTCTGATCCCTGACTAGAACGTGTACATTTCTCTGCTGTTGTACTTTTACAATTGGCTTGATTTGTCAAGACCTCCAAGGAAATTGTGATGTGTGACATTTCTCTGGTCTCTACTACTTGCTCGCACTCTCTATGCAACTTTTCAGATATTTTCCATGTCTCTCAAATCTCTGATCCTGTTATATGCCTGATCAGAGTCAACAAATGGATGTCTCCTACATTACGGAAAAAATGAAAATCAGGTGGCACATGCCTCATTTTTTGTGATTACATATCTAAATTCACCACATTTGTACTCATTCTCTTTCCTTCCTTTCATAAAGGGTCTGTTCCTTGTCCCATCTATTTCTTGTCCCTATTTTATATCTCATCGTTTCTTACTTTCCCTGAAATTTTACATTGTTTTGTATATTATGTTTACCTTTTCTTCTCAACTGTGTCCTGTGCTCACTTTTTAAATATTTGTAAGTCCTGACTCCTAAAAACAATCTCACCTCTCTGCCCACCCTAGGTAACCCTTCTTTAACCTCAGTATTCTCTCTCAGTTACTGTCTTTGCCTTGTGTTTTCTTAGTCAGACTTGTTCTAAGAGTGCTAATGTGCACTCATTTCCTCAATTCTCACTCAGGACTTAACGCATGAACACCTGGTTGCTGCCCCAGCATTACTGAAGTAGGTATCTGTAAGATTCTCAACGACTTTCTTGTTGTTCAGCTGCTCAGTCGTGTCACTCTTTGTGACCCCCATGGACTGCAGCACGCCAGGCCTCCCTGTCCATCACCATCTCCCAGAGCTTGCTCAAACTCATGTCCTTTAGGTCAGTGATGCCATCCAACCATCTCATCCTCTGTCATCCCCTTCTCCTGCCTTCAATCTTTCCCAGCATCAGGGTCTTTTCCAATGTGTTGGCTCTTTGCATTAGGTGGCTAAAGTATTAGAGCTTCGGCTTCAGCATCATCCTTCCCGCGAATATTCAGGGTTGATCTCCTTTAGGATGGACTGGTTTGATCTCCTTGATCTTCCTCCTCCATCAGGAGGCTCTTGAGTTCCTCTTTGCTTTCTGCCATAAGGATGTTGTCATCTGCATATCAGAAGTTATTGATATTTCTCCTGGCAGTCTTGATTCTGGTTTGTGCTTCATCCAGACCAGCATTTCGCATGATATACACTGCATATAAATTAATAAAGCAGGGTGATAATACACAGCCTTGACATAGTCCTTTCCCAGTTTTGAACCAGTCCATTGTTCTATGTATGGTTCTGTTTCTTCTTGACCTATATACAGATTTTTTTGGAGGCAGGTAAGGTGGTCTGGAATTCCCTTTTCTTTAAGAATTTTCCACAGTTTGTTGTGATCTACGCAGTCAGAGGCTTTAGTGTAGTCAATGATGGAGAAGTAGATGTTTTTCTGGAACTCTACCTTTTTCTATGATCCAGCAGATGTTGGCAGTTTGATCTCTGGTTCTTCTGGCTTTTCTAAGTCAGCTTGTACATTTGGAAGTTCTTGGTTCGCATCCTATAGAAGCCTAGCTTGAAGGAATTTGAGCATTACTTTGCTAGGATGTGAAATGAGTGCAATAGTGCAGTAGTTTGAGCATTCTTGCCTTTCTTTGGGATTGGAATGAAAACTGACCTTTTCCAGTCCTGTGGCCACTGCTGAGTTCTCCAAATTTGCTAGCATATTGAGTGTAGCACTTTAACAGCATCATCTTTTAGGATTTTAAATAATTTAACTGGAATTCTATCACCTCCATTGGCTTTGTTCGTAGTAATGCTTAAGGCCCACTTGACTTCACACTCCAAGATGTCTGGCTCTAGGTGAATGAACAGTTCCAGTTCCAGCAAGGAGAGATAAGAAAGCCTTCCTCAGTGATCAGTGCAAAGAAATAGAGGAAAACAATAGAATGGGAAAGATAGAGATCTCTTCAAGAAAACTAGAGATACCAAGGGAACATTCCATGCAATAGGAATGATGGGACAATGAAGGACAGATATGGTACAGACCTAACAGAAGCAGAAGATATTAAGAAGAGGTGGCAAGAATACACAGAAGAACTATACAAAAAAGATCAATGACCTTTCAGCTAAATTCAGTTCAATCGCTCAGTTGTGTCCTACTTTTTGCAACCCCAAGGACTGCAGCACGTCAGGCCTCCCTGTCCATCACCAACTCCCAGAGCTTGCTCAATCTTATGCCCACTAAGTTGATGATGCCATCCAACCATCTCATCTGTTGTCCCCTTTTCCTCCTGCCTTCAATCTTTCCCAGCATCAGGGTCTTTTACAGGGAGTCAGTTCTTTGCATCAGCTAGCCAAAGTATTAGAGTTTCAGCTTCAGCATCAGTCCTTCTAATGAATATTCAGGACTGATTTCCTTTAGGATTCACTGGTTTGGTCTCCTTGCAGTCCAAGGGACTCTCAAGAGTCTTTTCTAGCACCATGGTTCAAAAGCATCAATCCTTCCAAACTCACCCATCATTATGGTCCAGCTCTCACATCCATACATGACTACTGGAAAAACCATAGCTTTGACTAGATGGACCTTTGCTGGCAAAGTTGGTCTAGGTTGGTCATAGCTTTTCTTCCAAGGAGTAAGCATCTTTTAAGTTCATGACTGCAGATACCATCTACAGTGATTTTGGAGCCCAAGAAAATAGTCTTTCACTGTTTCCATTGTTTCCCCATTCATTTGCCATGCAGTGATGGGACCAGATTCAATGATCTTCATTTTTTGAATGTTGTTTTTTAAGCCAGCTTTTTCACTCTCCTCTTTCAGAGGAAAGCGTAGTTCCTCTACGCTTTTGGCCATAAGCGTGGTGTCATCTGCATATCTAAGGTTACTGATATTTCTCCCAGCAGTCTTGAATCCAGATTGTGCTTCATCCAGCCCAGCATTTCTCATGATGTACTCTACATATAAGTTAAATAAGCAAGGTGACTATATACAGCCTTTCCAGTATACAGTGTAAAGACTGACAATACTCAATGACAATATTTACATTGCTAAATTTTGCAACTGTCTTGCTTGACCTTCTCAAAGTATCTTTGTTGACTTCTTTTCCCTTGGCCTTTGTGAAGCAAGATACCAGATCTTACTTCTCCCTTTCTGGCCCCTCCTTCTTTATAAACTCATTTTCCCTCCTTGGCCAGTTTATTTTGGAGTTACCCATGGCATGGTCCCAGGCTGTGCCACTCTCCTTCCTGCCCTGTGCCCCTGGGTGGTCCCCTGAAGATGACGCGTGCTTATTAATCGAGCTCAGGTTTCCTCTTGGAACGCTATGCCCATGTAATCGGTTGCTTACTCGACATGCCTCCTTGGATGTCTTAGTAGCACCCTACATGTCTAAGACTGAATTAAAAATCCCCTAAGTACAATCCAGCTCAGCCCAACCTAGTTCACTTTTAGTATTTTATTTATTTATTTTTAAATTTCAGTGAATGGCAACACCATCATTCTAGTATGGAACTCAGGTTATTAGGAGCCTACCTCTCCCACTTAAACTGAAAGTGAAGTCGCTCAGTCGTGTCCGACTCTTTGCAGTGCCATGGACTGTAGCCCACCAGGCTTGTCCATGGGATTTTCCAGGCAAGAGTACTGGAGTGGGTTGCCGTTTCCTTCTCCACTCCCACTTAATACTATGGCTCTTATTACAAGTTGGTATTATATGTCATATTGAAATTGTTGAGCCTTTTAAAGGTGAGAACAGGAAAATATGAGTTACTCTGGATATTCCTTTAATAAATCTGAAAGTTTTCAGTATTGAATCAGGATTAGATTTTCTTTGGATTATAAAAATAAATTTTATCAACCATTGCACATATACAATTAAAAATATAATTATCTTTTGTTTTTCTTTATTTGCAACTGAATCTCTGCACATGTCTACCAATGACTAAGTAGTTCTACTTTTTACAGTTTTGTAAGTATACACATTGTAAA